ATCGTGATGCGCGGTCGCGTGTACTTAAAATGGTGTGGAGGGAATGAGCATGACTAGAGTCTCGAGATCATACCCGTGTGTTCACCGAACACGCCCGATCGTTACCTAAGCGGTGGGGAGACCGAGACGTAAGCAGGCAGCTATGATACAAGATACAATGAGTGGGCAGGCAGCTTCTCTCATGCTGTCTCTGTTTTTGCAGTACGGGGTGGGCCACCAACAGTTTTCTTAATCACATTTCAACTTTTTTTTTTCTAATAAATAAGAAACATTTGATAGGCATCAAGTGATCTACTGCGACCTATCAGATAATGAAAGTGATGATTTGATTTGCAATAATTCGCTATGTCACGACGAGTCCTACATGTAAATAGCGAACCACTCATCGAAAATCATGAAACTATATGTACATAATATTATATGCTCATGTTTTGTTGGCGAGGACGCTCGTTTTATTCAAATTATCTTCGATAATGTTCATCTGCTTCACTAGAAATTATTATTAGTAGTTAGTAGTAGTAGTAGCAGCTTTGTTATTCAAAATGGAACACCTTATATTTTATTACATTTTTCGATTCTTCTAATTGAGCTATCATTTCGTTGATCAAGCTCAAGGTATACCTATACGTAGAATGTGAAAAATCGAGATTTTTTTTGTATCGAAACTATACAATACCTATATTGATTTGTCAAAATGGCTTACATGTGTCCCTATCCTAACATTCTATTTACTATCTACTGATGCCATTTAATTGAAACAAATACAGGGTGGATCAGATTTCAGAATTACATAAAAGATGTACTAGTATGCCTACTAAAGATATAAATATATTCGAAATAAACAAAACAAATATATCACATAAGAAAACACACTCTAATATTCACCATAAAATAAAATTCAATCCCACTGGATGTATTTAAAAATATAAACAGTGTGCATGTCACTTCTAATGGAATCAACCCGTATATCTAACGTAACTGTTCAATTTTAGGGAGCGATAGATATATTTACCAACTATGGCCAAAGTGAGGTAATCTAGAGTGAAGAACACTGCTCTGGTCATGGACCCACCAACATTTCCGGAAAATGATATTAGGATGCAAGATAGGTTGAAAATCACTTCGGATTCGAAATCAGGATGTAACCCTGTACCTCGAAAACGAAGCAAGTTTAGGACACATGTTTATATGACCTTTATTCATCATATTATATCACAAGGAATCATCCCTTGAATTATTTCGGTGTTATTTAGATACACCCTGTATAGATCATTCTTCATTTTTCCCATAGCGAAGTTCAGCAAATACCGATGGCGAGAGCACTATGTTTATTGATTTGATGTCTACCTATAATATATGTAAAACAAGAAGGCACAACTACTAGTGTTCCGTTTCGAAGTACATTAAATTGACTTCGACTCCAAAATAATTCAGGCACGCGCCAATATTCATAACGTAGTTACTGCTGCCCGTTTACGTTTCCCCACCGCTTAGGGAACGATCGGGCGTGTTCGGTGAACACACGGGTATGATCTCGAGACTCTAGTATGAGCATGGTGACGACATTCCAGGCGCGAGAGGTTGGAACTCTAGCGGCAGTTGGCCGTAGACGGTGGCTGAGAGCATAACTTGTTCAGTTAGCCAGGCCGAGTGCGAGAGATTGAGGCACTATCAAACAGTATTTGAACGAAATATCTATCATCATAAAACACCAAGGTGTGTTGCATCACCTATAAAACAAGTATCTGTACAGAGTATAGCTGTGCGTGAAGTGGCTTCACTGAATGTCGCTAAGAATAAGGGTAGCTGTTCCCCGCTCGCCATTTATCCACGAGTTACTACGAAAAAGACTGTAAGTAGGTTCCAATTTGTGCATGTGAAGAACTGATAAATATTGAACTCATTTTCGCTATTTGGTATTAGTTCGTTTAGAAGGGATTCACGAAATCGTTAGTTGTTCTTAGTTCTAGTATTTACGTAACTGTAAGGTCACCATTTGTATGTTTGTTGGGTATTGAATAGAGTAGTTGTTGTCAAAGTCGGTTGCTATCATTTTTATTCCACACTACAAAGAACCCCGTGTTTTATCTGAGAGAGTTTTACATTTGTCGCCCAACGTTTGGCTAGTGAAAAATAATAGTAACGGCGATTTTGATCGTTTATGGGTTGATAGATTTTCAAATGTTTCTTCAAATGTTGTTATATAGTGAACTTGTATAAAAATGGGTTCAAGATCGAAACGTAATAAAGTTGAAGAAAAGTTAGTAGAGGAGCGGATAGGTAATTTGGAAGTAACGTTTGATAAACTTAAAAAAAACTTGGAGGGTTTACAACAAACTTTGAATACCGTTTTCTCTACAATGTCTTTGCAGGAAAATGAAAAGAGTAATGTTAGAGTAGCAGAAAATAGTGGGGTTAGTCCTAGTTCAGGAAAAATGAATAGTATGGGTGATAGAGTAGTGGATAGAAGTTATATTGCTCTTTGGAGAGATTTAGGTGAAAATAATAATATATGAACGAGGCTCATCAGCTTTGTCAATAACTGTTCCATATGATCATATATCAGTAACCCAAACTGAATCATTTGTTTTCAACTCACACATATCTTTGGCTTCATGCCTCAGATCATAGTTTTCACTTCGTTTCTGTTTACTAACTTTCTCTTTCTCTAGCATACAATCTGCTCTAATTTGGAAGGATAGGCAAAATACCTCTTAGTTTCCTATTCATAAGCAATTCTGCCGGACTGAATCCGCTCTCTGAATGTGTTGATCTATATGATAATAGAGCCAAAGATAGGTCTTCATTCTTCTTAATAATATTTTTTGCTATTTTGACTGCTGCCTCTACGCACCCGTTTGATTGAGGGTAGTGAGGGCTACTAGTGACATGTCTAAAGTTATATAATGAGGCAAACTTCTTGAATTCCGATTGAAATTGGGGACCATTATCTGATCTTACCACATCAGCTATCCCATATCTCGAGAAAACTTCTTTCATCTTCCCTATAATTTTACTTTCAGTCATGCTGCCCAGTTTGAAAATCTCAAAAAACCGAGAATAGTAGTCTGTTATAACTAGGTACCAATCTACACATTTGAAAAGATCTACTGCAATTTTCTGCCAGGGTCGGGTAGGTAACTCATCTTTGACAAAGGTTTCCTTAATGTTAACTCGTTCCTCTATGCAATTGGGGCACGAACGAATAAGATTTTCAATTTGTGTTGAAAGGCCTATCCACCACACAGACATTTTTGCTCTTTCACGTGACCTTGGTGTCCTGAGTGAATGAAGTTTATCACTTCTAATTGAAGTTTAGGAGGGATAATTATTCAGGAACTTTCAAGCAACAAATTTTCATTGAATGTTATCTCATTTTTATACTGATAATATGGGCATAATTCAGCTGACAGGGCTTTTTTGTCGGGCCATCCAGCAATAGAATATCCTCTTAATTTTGTATAAATCGGATCCAAAGACTGTTCCAATGCAATTTTCTCCAAAAAATGATCTTTGATGGGTAAATGTTTAATTATGAGGCGCACATGAGCATCTACTTCCTCAGTTAGTTCATCAGTGGTTTCCAAGGTCTGCAGAGGATTGCGAGATAATGCATCGGCCATTAAAAGATTTTTACCAGGAGTATACTGAACTGTGTAAGTATAACGCATTAGTCGAATTCGGAATCTCTGCAACCTAGGTGACAAATCATCTAAACTCTTTGTCTGTAAAATTTGGATGAGTGGTTTGTGATCAGTCTCAAGAATTATGGGAATACCAATGATGTATTTTTTTAACTTTTCACAAGCCCAAGTAAGTCCTAGGGCTTCTCTGTCAATTTGAGCATACCTACGCATACCTAACTTCATCCAGTCATCCATTGATCATTATCATTAGAACTTAATCTACTCACAGAATGTCCTGGACATTTATCAACATTATTACTAGAAAAACCTGAGATAGAACGAGTTATACTTCCAACAAACTGTTCATTATCCTCTTCTAGAGTTTGTGAGTTAAGTGTCTCACAGTCAGAATTTATGTTCCTGACATTCCTGAGAAGATGAGGAGACATCACTTCACTTCCTCGGAGAGTGTGAGGCGTATGGAAGGATGACAACAGGAAGATTTGGTCGGATTAGAGTGGACGGACATCCTGACCTTTATCAGAAGGACGGGAAGGTTCGAAAAGAACAACTAAAAGAGGGATGTGTAGATATGTGGAGAGCAGGGGTTGGCAAAAAGGGCCCATGGGGGCCTACTTGCCTGGCTACAGCCTCCCCACAGTACTACTACTATTTTAGCTGGAACATCACAAACAAAACCTCTAATTTCTACCTGGTATACAGTATCAATATAAATAATTCCATTAGATAATATATCCACAGCCTCCTCAACGAACATTCTCAAAAAATCATTAGCCTCTTTGGGTTTCTCATAACCATGATATAAACCTATTACCCCAACAATATTGTCAGTTGATAATTTACATAAAATTGGATATAATTGACTCCCAGAACTTTTTGATAGTGGCAATCCATCAATATTAATAAAAACCTGAATTTTTTTGTTAAAAACTTTACATCCTTGACAATTGAGTAACTTTATAAGACAATCTCTGAATCCAAAATGATAATACTTCCCTGGTTCAACTGTAGGAATAGGTAATTCTCTTAGAGTATGCAATAAAGTTCTCGAATGTGTAGGTAGAGTGGGAAGTTTAGGTTTCAATATTTGCAACAATTCAGTTATAGCTGAATGTGTTATGTTATGTTTCAAAGCCCATTCTGTTAATTTAGCATTAATTTCTGTTTGATCATTATTTCGATGTTCAAGAATGTTTTCAAAATGACAAGTTTGAATAGGGTCCTCCAAAGGGTTTTCTCTAGATGAAATACTTGAATTCTCAAGGAAATGATCATCATCAGACATCTCATCGGAACTTGAAACAAATTGATCAACTATGAGGGCATGTTCTATGTTTGTGTCTAACATATCAGTCAAAGGACTAGTGGAACTAGTAGAAGGCAAGGTCGTGAGAGAGGTATCATCTCAAGTATCATATCATCCACAAGTAATTGACTGGTAGAAGGACTAGTGAAACTAGTGGAAGGCAAGGTCGTAAGAGAGGTATCATCATCCACAAGTAATAATTGACTGGTAGAAGGCATACTACAAGTATGTGCTAAGGCTGTTTTATCAGGTCTAGTCCTTTTGTAATATTTTTTCAACATTTGTTTCTTTTGCATAGACAATACCTGCTTTCTCTTACGATCTAGATCCATGATGATGATACCAACTACAATACTACAAACCTACTACTTGATAATAATATAATTTATACTCAACTTCGTTTTCCAGCAGTTTTCCAATTAGTTTTCCCACTCCAAATTCAGTACTATTATAAAACCACAGTATGCAATCACCAATTTATTCAACAAATCTGTAAGCGCGGTTGATTTTAGGCGTCTGTTTTGAGCGCGAGCATCATCGTTCTTGTAAAGTTGGGTTATGTATGTGCGCATTACAAAAAAAGTGTTGACAGCAACGCAAACACTGTTGCCAAACATTATCCAAATACACTTGAAATGATTTGAACTCATAGCTATCTATCCTCTCTTAATTTGATGCAATGAACAAAGACAAACTGCGTTGAAAATGTTCACACGAGTGGGATTAGCGATGAAAAGGCTAAATTTGTTGTGCAAGAACAGAGATCAGTCACCCACTAACTTATCTCTGTGCAAGAATGGTCAATCGGCTGGCGTAAGCTGTGAAAATATGCGTGAAAAGTCAAGAAATCACAATTATAGATTTCCAATAGATATTTTGTTAATTGAGTGAGGTATACAAGGACTATGTCCTAGAAGGGACATGAATGGGACAACTCAGGAATATATGTACTCGTTGGGACACGAATGGGATATTTCTGGAATATGTAATAGTTGGGACATGAATGGGATAGTTAAGGGATGTACCAGTTGGGACATGAATGGGACAACTCAGTAATTTGTACTAGTTGGGACATTTATGGGACAACTTAGGGATGTACTAGTTGGGACATCCAGTGGAAATCCCCTGGGATATCCCAATCACGTCCTTATCCCGACGGTACAGTTTGGAACATAAAAGGGACGTCCCTAGGACATCCCTGTGTTGTTAGTGTATAACTTGCCTTTTTGTCTTGGTCTTGGCATATCTAAATCAGAGCCACTATCTTCTGAAGAAGTGAACTTAGTTCTTTTTGGCTTCCTTTTTTCTGATAAACATTCTAGTTCTGAGACCTCTGAAGTTACACAGCATTTTGAAGCTTTTGCACAAGCAATCTTGAAATTATCATAAAGTATGTTCCTCATTAGAGAAACATTATATTCTTGCCAATCACTTTCGGGTTCAACCTCATTTTTTATAGCTTTTTCCATACGATTTTTGGGATACGAAGGGTAAAATATTGATTTTCTGGACCCATTATACCAACAGTAAGGAACAGTTACAATCTCCTCAGAATCAGAAAACTGCACAATAATCCAAGGCATATCCTATAAATATCAAAAGAGAAAATTGAGTAATGATCACAAAGTATATGTTTCATTTTGAATTCAAATGATAGATGAAACTAGAGTGGAGAAATAAAGAATAATTATGTCAAAATATGCTACCTGTGCTGTATATGAATTGAACACACCACACCACATTTTGTTTTCATAGTTCTGGAGAGGTGTGGAAAAGGAAATGCCATTAAATCATTTGACACATGGTATAATTCAACTTGAAAACTGTATTTTTGAGTAGGAACATGGAACAATTCACACCAACTAGAACACATTATCATATTAACTGACTGATCCAAATAAAGTGTCCACCATCATCAAAGTTTACATTATCAATTGAATATGCAACAATGTTCAGATCAATGAAAGAACATGAAACAACTCAATATGAAAAAACATAAAACTAAATAATCATAGTAATTTCGAGTTGAGAAGTGAAAAACCATTTGAGTTTTCATTTTATGAAATTATATTCAACTTTGATACTTACTTACATACTCAAAGACATGATGCTGAAAAGTTCACTAATTTGAGCAATAATAAAAATGATAATATTGATCAAAATAATAATAATAATAAAAATAATGATGATTATAATAATAATAACAAAATTGCGAAAATTGTGGCCAATATTACTCTCATTCATAGATTCAACTTCAATTTTTGTGGGCGAGAATTGAAGGAAAAACTGCGAAAGCATCACCATAGGGTAGTCTTACAAGTTTATGGGAGATTTTTTAGAATCCACATCTTAGTTTCACTTGAATGAGAAACATAGAAAATATGTAATGAGGATGATGATAACGGTAAATTGAAGAAGTCAGATTTATTCATGTTTTCTCTCCCAACCACTATGTTTTCATTCAATACTGGCGAAAAAGCAAAATTTTCAATTTCAATGATTGTACCATCCTCCAGAGCACAGCTCGAATCTTTAAGAGTGCAAGAAAGCTTGAACTTTGGAAAAACAACTGATCTGAACTCTGGACGAGAACATCCTGATACCAATGGTCCATCACAATGTGGTTTGATCAAATTAAAATCTGATATTTCTTCAGATACATTAACTTTTTCTCTACAGTTCATTGACTCATAGTAACGGCGAACTACTTGTTGTAATGGTTTATCATGCTTTCTAATTAATGTTCCTAAATATTGGAGAAAATTCTCATATTCGAAATTACTAAAATTGTCAAGCACTCCAAATTTTCTAACATCATCTACTAAATGTAATAAATTATGGAAATTATGAGTTAACAAATGGGATCCATAAATTTCCTCGATACTTTTCACAGAATAAATGATTAATTCCTCAACATAATCGATATACATTGGGCAATATTTCTCACTCGAAAGAATTCTGATTGAAATTAATAGAATCAAGAAATGTTGATACTTCTTCTTTGGAAGAACATTGATCAATACAACTGGTCCGGTATACAGTAAAAAATGTCGGAATTCTGTCGCTTTCCACCTCTTAACCTCTTTGAGAGATCTAGGCTTCCTAGCGAAATCAGACGGAAAGGAAGGAATCAAGTTGATCAAAAGTTCTGAAATTCCAGTGAACTGGGCACTAGAAAATTTGTGAGGGGGTGGTCCAAAGCACCAGAGCCCACATAGTAATTTTTTGACCACTCCCAACAAAACCAAATGCATATAGTCCGAAGGAACATCTGCTATTATATCAATATTTGGAATGTCTAATGAAATAGATTGATCAGTATGGTGAGCAGCATCTGTTTGCTGAACGAATCCATCATGTGTTCTCTTCTCAAATATTAAGAGTGGAAAACAAACACGGTCTTGTACAGTTTCCCCATGCTGATAACATTCAGTACAAGAACTATAACCTGTTTGACCCTTAATTGCCAATATGGGTGCTTTTGCAACAGCATCAAATAGGAATTTAGAAATTTTGAAGTTGTATTGTTGGTAAGTTTTATGGCTTCTTCAATGAAGTCTGAAAGAAATTCATCACAAATTTTGGGTTTTTCATAGCCATGGTATAATCCAATTAAAAACACATCTTTAGATTCCAAACCAAGTATGGGATAGAACTGACTGCTCGAACTTTCAGCTATGGGTAGACCATCTATGTTTATTCCAATTTCAATTGGACTACTTGGTGCCCTACTAATTCTTTTGAATAGATCTTCAATTGATTTCTGTAATCCGAAGTGATAATATTCTCCTGGATCTACCTTTCGAGTAACTGTAAATTTTGGAGTAGCTAGAAATGTTCTTGCATCCCTTGGCAATCCATGAAAATATTCAGGTTTAGAATCTACTAAAATTGCCAATTATTCGTTAATTGCACTAAGAGTAACTTTATTTTCAACTGCCCAATTCTTGAGCTTTTCCACAGTATTTAATGGATGATAGTGATTATTTTGGGTAGAGCCTTCATTAACAGGGCTATTGAGTATTGAAACCTGTTGAGAGCTTGATAAGTCATCAAATAATAAAATTTCATTATCTGTCAAACTTTCATTCTGGATATTATCGCTATCAGTAATGAAACTACTAGCTGAGCTACTAGTATTATTACTACAATGTGGAACATTTGTATCTAATCCTACACAATTTTCACCTTCAACTTGGGCATCAAATCAACAATGATCAGTTCTGAAAGGGTTAAGGGAAGCGAATTGAGAATAAGTGCTTTTTTTAGTAGAGCATAACATTTCTTTCAATACTGCTCATCATCTGGTAGCATTTCTAAAAGCTACTGCTCCTGTTGCAGAAAATCTAAGCTGTAACAGAACAAAGGCTACAGCTATAACCAACAATGAAAAATTCTTTGCAAATGCTGATAAAAAAACTGCAAGGTGATAAATTCAGCTCAATAATAGATGAAAGCACTGATCGCTCAAGTGTAAAACATTTGGCTTTGGTTGTAAGAATGTGCAATGAAAATTTTAGAATAAAAGATGAATTTTTAGCACTGCTCCCTGTACAAGATGCAACTGCTAACTGTCTCTACAGGACGGCCGTGGGCCCACCATGTACTCACGGCGTCGGGGTGGGGGTAGCCTCAGGTGATTCCAGACACCACTGGTTAAAAGCTCGAGGTCCCCACTCTTGTCATGGTAGCGGAACGTGTAAAAGGCCGCGAACGGATACCCATCAAACGGGACTGGAGGATTCTGGTCGACATGCGTAGCTGGGCTTGCTCAGCGAAAACTGGAACTTTCTCAGACACCTCATTTCACGATAAAAACCTCAATATTCTCTTGCAACTATTCATAGATAATTCATACCCACCTAGTTTAATAAAAAATATCTTATTCAATAACTCTGCCACGCTGGAAGCTGACACCCCTGTAATTCAACATAATCCCACTGACATCCAATTGCCTGTTACTCCCCCACAACAAATATTATACACATCAATGCCTTACATAAAAGATATCACACCCAAACTTGCTAAAATTTTTGTTGATATACCCAACATCAAAATAGCCAACAAAACAGTTCTCACTATTAAATCCATATACACAAAAGTGAAAGATCAAATTCCATTGACATCTCGAATGAATGTGGTATATAGTATCCCTTGCAAAAATTGTGATAAAACATATGTAGGTCAGACATCAAGAGCCCTTAAGGCAAGAATTACTTCACACAAAAGTGATAGCAGATTACATCCAGAAAGATGTGCTCTAGCAGATCATGTTAACCAATTTGACCATCATATGGATCATGACAATGTAAAAATCTTAGCATCTGAGAATAATTTGACCAAGAGGTCCTTTTTAGAAATGGCGTGTATCTATCAAGAGGTCAACAACATGAATAAAAAAACTGACATCAATTATCTAAGTGAAATTTATTCATATTTATTGACATTAGACAACAACCCCCTCAGGGTTAATTCCATTGATAATTCTGAACTATAACATTCCAATTTATCAATTTAAAAATTAACACAATTTTTACAGTTGGTACAATAGTTGGCACTACTGATAGTACTTGTCTTGTCAATACTGTCAACCATCATTCTAACCTAATTTCAATGTCATTCATTCATTAATTTTCTCATATCCGGCCACATGGTGTCCATGACTAGCTAGCTCAAGTTCAAGTTCAAGTTTTTAACATGTGTGATTGTAACTTTACTACTTTTGTATTTTAATTGTTTTATATAACTTTACAAGCAACTTCGTTCCTGGATGATGTATCACATTTCAATTCTTAGAATTATTGTTAACATCATAGTAATCATCCTCACGTAGATGTAAGTACAAATTAATTTTGACTTTTATACTATTACTGACAATAATTATTGTAGTATGCCCTGATGATGGAATCAATTAAATTCCGAGAGCTTGGATAATCTTCAAAGAGTTCTCTTTTACTTGCTGCAAAACCTCACTATTTACTAGTCGATACCTAACTAGTCAGCAACGACTACCCTTCCACTAATCTACAGGCATGGGGTTCTACCAATACATCGGTACTACATTTGGTGAAATAGCATCGAGGAACATGAAGTTATGGTCCAATTCCAAAATGAAGCTAGCAAAAGAATACAATCGAAGATGTTTCTTACTTCAGTGCAGAATACACCACATACTGCCACCACATATCACTGCCACCATAAGACCCATAGAAAATCTATTATTAAGACAAAAAGCTAATACAAACATCAAAGAACAATACTACAGGCTAGGAATCAAACTTTTAAATATTGAAATCACAGCTAATCAAAAAATTATTAACAAACTAGAATCCTCTAATGTCACTGAAACAGTCTATAATTTCACTTACGAATGAACTTACCTTTCTAAATTTCAGTGGTAGACAACAGACCTCATACAACAAACTTTTTCATAGAGTCAGAATCAAAAATATTAGAAAATTGAATAACTTAAAAGAAATCCAGTCGAAAACCAAATTGAAAACTAACCCTAAGTGGATAAAAAATATCTCTAACACAGTCATACCAGATGACATTAAACAATTCCTGTCATTAGGCCCAAAATTTAGCATTGAACCAAGAATAGGTAAGGACATTTCTATTAAGAACATTTTGGCAGATATAGACTATATCACATCCTCCATTACAGATCATAATCAGGAAAGTGTTACTATAGCAAGAGCAGTGAATATCATCACCAATAGTATTCAAAGTCAATTCAAACATCAATCAGTTTTTCAAAACCTTTTACATAAATCAAGAAAATTTCTGAAAGATAATCCCATCTGACAAAGGTAACGTAACAGTAATAATGGAAAAAGATCAATACATAAGCTTATCAAATGATGTCATTTTGAACAACTCTTCATACATCCAACTTACTAAAGATCCCACGAATTCCATACAAAGAGTCAGCAATAACCTCATAAAGGAGCTACATAACAATAATCAAATTGATGATTCTGTAAAAAAGAAACTGACTTGTTATAGCCAAAACTTTATGCATTGCCCAAGATTCACAAACCAACTTTATCGGTTAGACCAATTGTAGCTTCCATTGGAGCACCCACAGAAGCTATTGCTTCCTACTTAACTAACATCTTGACCAAGGCATACAATTTTGATAACGAATATTACATCAAAGATTCATTCGAGGTTTCTGAAAAATTCAATAAAATGTTACTTTCACACAACTATGTGATAGCCAGTTTGGATGTAGTTTCTCTTTTTAGTAATGTTTATCTTGAAGCCTGCTTGCGAGCAATACACAAACAATGGGAGAGTATAGTCGATACCTAACTAGTCAGCAACGACTACCCTTCCACTTGTATATATATATATATATATATTCATCAGACATGGATACCAATATGAATTGGTATATAAATTACAATGTGAGGAGGCAAACGGCCATGGTGATATTTTATATTTTACTGATTTTATTGACTCATTACTGGTATTGTGGAGAATTGATAAAAAAGCACCCAAGCGATTATGGATGAGTACCTTCTCTGAAAAAGAGCTAAGAGATGATGACCCACAGGAGTATTTCAACTACTTCAGAATGTCAGAAATAATGTTCAACAATTAATTTACTCGTGAAAATAGATGGTGAACTGGACAGAAATCAACTAACAAGAGAACCACTTTCACCATTTGAAATATGCTATAACATTGAGGTAGGTAATTCATTATCATCTTATGATTCAATAAATATATGGAAGGGATAACTAACTCATTCATGCATAGAAAAATGTTTTCAATATATTCATTTCATATACTTGGCCTCATTCAATTGCTTTTCGTTTTGATAAAACTACTGTATCTCACATTGTGAGAG